TACTTTTCATTGACTATTCAAAGGCATTTGACTGTGTGGATCACAACAAATTGTGGCTAACCTTGAGGAGAATGGGAATCCCAGAACACTTGATGGTGCTCATGTGAAACTAGTATCTGGACCAGGAATCAGTCATCAGAACAGAGCAAGGAAACACTACATGGTTCAAAGACAGGAAAAGTGTATGTCAGGGATGCATCCTGTCTCCATATCCTTTCAATCTATATGCGGAACAGATCATTCGGAAGGACTTTATGAGGAGGAATGTGGCATCAGGATTGGAGGAAAACTCAACAACAACCTACATTATGCAGATGACACAACTTTGCTTGCTGAAACTGAGGAAGGCCTGAGGTGTTTGCTGCAGAAGGTCAAGGACTCTAGTCTTCAATATGGATTGAAGCTCAATATCAAGAAAACAAAGATTCTCACCACTGGGCCAATTGATAACACCATGATAGACGGAGAAGAGATTGAGATTGTTAACAATTTCAGCTTATTTGCCTCCACAATCAACACTGTTGGCACCAGCAGTCAGGAAATCAAAAGATGAATTGTATTAGGAAAATTTGCTATCAGGGACCTCTCTGGTATGCTGAAGAGCAACAATGTCAGTCTAAAGACTAATATGTGTCTGATCCAGGCCATGGTCTTTGTAATTACTGGACAATAACTAACTGTGACAGTAGAGGAATCGGTGTCTTTGAGTTGTGGTACTGATGAAGAATATTGCACATACCATACACTGCCAACGTCTGTCTCAGAGAGGGTGAAACCAAGTTTCTCCTCAGCGGCAGGAATTTTGAGGCTCCATCTGACATACTTGGGCATGTTGCCAGGAGGGACCAGTCCTTGGAGAAGGACATCATGCTTGGAAGTGTAAAGCGACAGCCCGGGAGAAGAGACTCCAGACAGGATGAATTGACACAGTAACTGGGGTGGTGGGGGCAGATGTGTTGGAGACAGTGAGACTGGCTCAGGATACGGCAGGGTTCAGAGCTATTGTGCATGGGGTCACTGTGAGTTGCAAGTGAGTCAATGGCACATAACATGGTGAAGAGTGTGTCCCAAAATGAAGCAGGGCCCGTGCTGCCTTTGCTGTTAATAGTGTTGTCTTTGTGCACAGAGTGTGGAAGCTCCAGCAAGGTGCTTAGCCCAGGAGTCGTGACACTGAAGTCCTTCTCTGGGAACACACGCAACTGGTAGACTGCATTTATTTTCCACAGTAGTTCTGGATCCAGGACTAGCAAATGCTTTGGCTGCAGTCAGTTCTCAACCACCAGTTCCAATATCAGGAAATGGAAGGATAATTGAAATCGAGAAGTAATTAAAAGATTTTGTGTTACTTTCAACCTTCAGAAGTTTTTCCCCCCTCAATTGTTATTAGTTGATTATTGAAAATGGCTTTTCTTTTCAAAGAAGGTTTTGAATCAAGTTATTTATGATCTTACAACCATTTACCAAGTTCATTAAGTTAAATCCCAGACGGGGGCAGAATCACCCAGGCATTATCTCTAGTGAGCTCTTCCATAAATTGCTGGGAACACTGGCAGTGGAAGCTGGTGTGTTGCTGACCAGATTTCAGTAGCACTTCCAGACTCAGACACACTAGGAATAAAGGCCTGGTAATCTCTTCCCCAAAATCAGCCAATGAAACCCTATAGATCACAACCTAGTCCTGAAGCTGGACTGTCCATAAGCTGCAGGTATTGCAATGCAGAGTTAGGGTTGAAACCCACACACCTTGCCTTTGCAGCTGGTTCTCAGTTTTAGTGCATAGGGAACCAAAGAGCCAGACTCACTTCCAGAATGACTGCAACGGCGAGAGAGAGACCGAAGGTCCCAATGCCAACTCCTACACACTGAAACTGCGTGAAGCCAAAAAAGGTGGGCTGCATGCAACATAATAGCCTGAGTATTTCTGCAGAATTGACACGTTTCAGAGAGAGCTTGTGGTTGCCCAGGCATCCCACTGAGTGCCAACTTCTCGTGACTCCTGCCTTTGCCAGCACTAGGATACAGTTGTTCTGTCGGTACGTGTGGCCAAGGAAGGGTGAAACAAAGCTAGGGCAAGTCCATCATGGGCCCAGCCTTCTCATGCTAAAATAACCCCCCAATCCTGTCGCCACCTGCTAGTCCACCTTCCAGCCCAGTCAGACTACAGAAGCACAGCTCTGCACTTGTCACCAGCACTAGGGACCACCCCCGTGTGGCCGTGATCTCCAAATAGCTGCCAGGAGCACTCTGGCTGAGGTGGAGGGGAGGCGGTTATTGATCTCATTTCCTACGTGTGTCTTCCTCAGGCTCTTTTGGTTTGGGGACATTGCTTAGTGCTGGCAGACTGAAGACCAAGTGTCCATGCTGTGTGGTATTTCAGGGAAGGTTGGGCCAGATGAGACCCTGAGGAGAGGGCAGAGCCAAGGGGAGGAGCCTCGGGGGGAGTTTGTGCTGGAGCTGGCTGTGCTGGGGCAGCTGGGTACTGTTTCATTTCTGTTTTCTCCTTTGCTCCTCCACACGCCTGGATGAGTTCTTCTCAGTGAGAATGCAAGGACGGTAGCTCTATCCCAGCTGAAAGTGATAGCCCACAGCTGGCCCAGCCACTCAGTGCAAGGGAAGCCAGGTCAGGACAACGGAAGACAAATACAAGTAACTTCCAAATCACGCCATTTATTTTTCTTTAATTGGATTTGACAGCTCATCTGAGCTTCTGCTCTGTTCTCTGAGGAGCCAGAGTTTGCATGAATGCTTGCTGTGTTCTCTCTCCTTCCCCTAAATAATGAGCACATGCACACACACACACACACACACACACACACACACACACACACATGTTCACACGCAGGCCAGACCAGAACACACGGGATTCTGACTTCATGGTGACACACATTTGTCAGGACATAGTATCCTTCGGAGTGTTGAGGACCGGGTCCCTGAAGGAGCATGGGCGAGCGAGGACAGTGGGAAGGCAGAGGGAAGGGAAGCCATGATCTCCTGAAGTTCTGTACCCACTCAGCTCCTTCATCTCACCCCAGCTAAGTTCTTAATCTCCACAAACAGAGGACACAAGGCCCACAGGACCTCTGCTGACCTACTGGGCACCCCTGAGCCAAGTATCAAGAGGCAAATGTACCCGTCCTCCTTCTTTTTTGGAGTATGGTTTAGTGATAGCCTTTTCCCCTTTGCCTTAGTGACTGGGTCTCCTTATGCATATATTGTAGTTCCCTAGATTATCCTATCGTTAGCATCTCAGGGTTAGAAGACTAAGAGGGAAGGAGTGACTTCTAAGAATTCTCAGAATCCCCCATGGCTCCTGGTGCTGATAGAGACCAGGGTCTCCCAAGGAATTCCCAAGATGACATCGGAAGGCACGCGATTCAAATCCACCATCCACCATCTGGTTTGCAGAAGGATGGGCAGTCCCGACCCCGCCGCTGCCCCATGTGATTATTGCCTTTGAAAACCTGTTGGGAGGGTCAGCTATGGGTGGGTTCTGACTCGACGGTACACAATAACAAAGCTGTTTCGGGCTCCAAACGCATTCTGACCACCATCCGACATGCTGCCCACACCTTGTTCCAGATTCTGTTTCATTTCCAAGAATGGGAACTGAAATATGAGGAAGAGCTGCAGCATAGTCTTAATGCACCAACCCTTCCCAGCACAGGCGTCACTGCCTAGCACTTGCTAGTCTCCGGTATTTAGAGGCATTATTTCTCACTTTTTTAATAAAGTGGAGATTCTGTGCAGCAAACCCTTAAAAGGAATGGTCCTGTCAATCCTTGGCTTCTTGAATTCATGGATTCCTGAGAGCAAAGAGGAGAAAGGGTATGGTCCTCTCCTGAATGCTGGTGCCGTTCAGTGAGAGATGTCACTGCTTAACTTGACAGCTCGGAGACCAAAGCTGGCTGGACATCTCAAGGATACCACAGGGCTGCAGTTCATAAGCCTCCAAGTTGGACTCTTTGCTCTGGGAATTTAAAGTGTGACAGCTGTGTGCAGCCAGTGGCGTCCAGCATTTTAAAAAGGTCAATTAAGAAACGGTTGACGGTGACACAGCTAATGACAATCCAGAGGGGTGAGCAAGGCCGAGTAAACAGAAGGGCTGAGATGCGTATTACTGGAATTGAAGTGTCCAAGCGGAGCGTGGAGGGGAGGAAATCTATTGTCACAAACCATAAAGTACATCTGAGTGATGCAGCGTTGGGCCTTACAGCCGTGTATCTCCCCAGGCAGCGTCTGTGCAGGTGGACTCGGCTGACAAAGTGGACGCCCATATCAGCACCATCAACCTGCAGACAAAAATCGTTACCCTCCTTTGCACTTTTGGCTCCCCGGCTCGGGGTGCATGAGACAGATGCTGGAGTGGTGTTCTGAATGCGGGTCATGTTCTCGGAATCCATATTTTAAGCATTCCCCCGAAGCTGTGGTCTGCCCACTCCTCGCAGTGTGTGTGTGGGTGGGCAGACAGCCTGCGCGCCAGCCCACGCAGACGGCTTGGCTTTGAAGACACACCAGCTCCCTGTCTTCAGTGGATGCACAATGCAGGGTCCGAGGACCTTTATGCAGTGATTGATAAAAGAGGGACCTGGAGCCCTTAGAAAAAGCCTATCTCAGCTGGTGACAGAATTGGTTCACGGTTGGGGGAGGCACTAAGTGGGGCTCTTTTTCCTTGAAAACCAGACAAAGGGGTCTTAGACTAAAAGCAAGGCTGCCAGGACAGGCTTTTCCTGCCACATCTACCTGTCAAGCTAGAAATTCAATAGAGCAATGGGAATGCTAATTTACATGCAAAACAGGTCCAGAGTTCCTAGAAGTGTCTAATGATCTTCCAATTCATTACAAATGCAGAATTAAGACATGTACGAAATGAGATGGGTGTTAAGAACACCAACCTTTTGCTTTTTCTCTTTTCCCTCCTTTTTTTTTTTAATTTTCAAAGCTACTTTGTGAAACTTTGCAGTTCTTGTGAGTAAAAAACGAGAGCATTGCAATCAGTGGGGTTTGTCTTTCACACACTGTATATTTATTATTAGAAAATAGCTTCTATCAGCTGTCAGTACTAAACAAGTTGACAGGAGCGTGCTTCTCACCATCATCCCCCCTCGCTACTGGTACTTAAATAAACAGCTCACTGTGTGGAGGGGGGCCACACCTTCTTTTTTTGTTTGTTTCTTTAAAAACGGAATAATTAAATGAGGTTTAGTACAAAACATCCTTCGGATCTGACTTGTTCTGAAGTCGGTATGATGTCTCCTTGAAGAGAGACAGAAAGAGACGAAAAAGACCACTCAAGCTATCAAACTGCCCCAAAGAATATACAGTAGAAACCAGGAAACAAATAAACTAGCCAAAACAGAACCCATCCAAACCAAGAAGCCAGCTTTTACCTTGGCTTTTCTGATGTTGATTATCATCTAGGTTTAATATATATCTCTCTATTTGAAATAGTAATAAAAAAGGAAGAACTGCGTCCTTATGCGGAGCGCTTTCCTCCGTGTTAAAGAGGTGTTCAGAAAATTCCATACAGTATCTGCTAAATAAACATGTTTGGCAGCTTAGCAAATATCATATGATTGCAGCATCCATGATTTGAAGTAAAACAGCATTTGCTTTCTTCCGGCAGAGTTTGTTGCTTAGGGCGATGTACTAACGTGGTTCTGGCTGTTCTGAGACCCACAGGCTTAAAGAAGGGTTTTGGGGTGACTCAGTGCATGGCCCCAGCGTAGGAACTTCCAGATCCCAAACAACTCATCAACCACCCACCCACACGAGCATCAAACAATTGTCTCCTTTGAGTTCCTCTTGACCGAATGGAGGCCCAGCAAGGACTGTTGGTTAGAAGGTACGTTGACAGACTTTGGAATGAGGAGAATCACCCTCTGATTGGTCCGACGCCATTCGTTGTACAATCGACAGTGGTACCTAAATGACACCTGGGGGGAGAGGAAAAAGAAAGTTTCATTCAGCAATAGTTGATCATCAATCCAACAAATAAAGCAAGCCATTCGGAGCAGCTGGGGGAGGCACAGCAAAGGACAGGAACCCCAGAGATACTGCTTTGTAGCAGCTGAGTGCTGGGAGATTGGGGAGCCAGCCAAGGACTCATGTGTGCATGGGCAGGGCTCCCATGGGTAACTTTGGTCTTGTCAAGCTGGGTAAAATCAAGACAGAAACAGGAAGTTGCACAGCGCCAGCTCACAGCCAGCTGTGTGACTTTACGAGCAGATTCCTGTGCATGCTGCAGGTCACACACAGCACATCTCAGAGGGTCCCATTCACACTGAACACGGTATGACGGGCACTCTCTCATGTGCCATTGGTGAGTCACTTCACTGCAACGGGTGGCCCTGAAGGGTGACTGCCACCTGCCTAGAGCCCCAGCATTCTCAGCTGCCAGCGAGAAGATCTGCTTGCGCAGTGCTGTGGGTTGAATTGAGCATCACAGGAAAATAAGTTCAAGTTCCAACGCGCTGTGGCTGAGTGTGACCTTATATGGAAATAGGGCCTTAGTAGATATAAACTAGTTCAAATGAGCCGTTCACCTTAATGACTGATGTCCATATAAGAACACCGTCTTGGGAGCAGGGTCCGTGTCATATCCATCTTTGTACGTCCAGCACTGACCACAGTGGCCGGCACTTACTGCAGTGTTCATCAGAAGACAAGCAGATAAATATCAGCTGGGGTAATGGCTCTTCTTTGCTATGGAACGCATGGTAGCATGAGAAGCAGGCCTCTAGGCCAGTTGTGGTATAACTACGCCCCCAAAGAGTGTTGCTTCTCCTGAAAATGCACCAGACTGAGGCACTTCAGCCTCTGCCTGGGTTTGGAGAAGGCGGACACAGGACGCTGCCAGATTGCCCAGGCAATTAATTTGTGTTTTTGAAGCAGAGGTAAATGAATGGCCTTTGAAGGTGGAGTTGTTTCACCTGCGTGCAGACTAATGACACCTAAGTGCTGTGAAAGTGGGTACATCTCCCCAGTAGGTCCTGATTTCACTCCTGGGGCTGGAGGTGGGCCGTGCTGACAAAAGTGCAGGGCCCGTGATTATCAGGAACTGGATCGTCAGAACCCAAGGCTTTAAGCTCAGCGTTTCCAGGAGTGGAGGAGAACACAGGTCACTGATCAGAAAGGCTTTGTTGGTCTCATGACAAGATCATTAAACTCAAAGCCATTTGCTCAAACTTCCAAAGCTAAAAAGCAGATAGTTTTAAGCAGATGCCACAGGCTGCGCGCCAGAGAGATTTGGGTATGAAAGTATAAGCTTTTATACTCACACAGATGTGCTTTTTTATAAAAGGCCCCAAAGGTGCCAGACTGATTTTTTTTTTTTTAAATTTGATTCTCTCATATCTATTCTGTCCTGCTGTGGCTTGGTGCTATCCACGAAGTACGGGAGGCAAGCTGGACGGCCAGCTGCTCAGGGCCAAGGATAGGAAAGAGGCAGGGCACAGACATGTGTGAATGAAGGGCTTTGGCAAGTCAAGAAATCTGGGATCCAGAAATAGGATAGGGATGTGGATTTTAAATCAAGAATCCTTTTGTCCAGGATATTAAAAAGCTGTGCACACTTGGCCTGAGGAAGCAGACCAGGAGCTGGGGGTGAAGGGAGGCTGCATCTTTTTTCTAATCAATCAACCAACCAAGTGTAGGAAGCAGGCTATGGCTCTAAGGCCAGATACTAAAAAAAGAAATCAAACCCACTTCTATGAAGCTGATTCCAACTCACAGCAGCCCTCCAGCACAGGGCAGAACCACACCACGGGGTTTCCAAATATCATCTTTACAGAAGCAGACTGACATGTCTTTATCCTGCACAATAGCTGATAGGTTTAACATGACCTTTCATTTAGGAAAGGGCACTTTAACCATAGTGCCACCAGGGTTCCAGGCATGCTGTTGTTGTTAAGTGCTGTAGAGTCAAATACAAATCATAGTGACCCGATGAAAAATGGATCTGAACTCTGTTCTGTGCACACCATCCTATCATCCTCGACACATTTGAGCCCACTCCCAGATGTTATGTCAATCCATCTGATTGAGGGTCTTCTGCTCCTTCGCTTACCCTCCACCTTTCCAAGCATTATGTCTTTTTTCCAAGGAATAGCCTCTCCTAACACCATATGTGAAATGAAGCTTCATCAACAGAATGTTCATCTAAAGAATATTCTGGCTGCACTTTCTCCAATACCGTTTGTTCTTCTGGCAGTACATGCAATCTTCAGCACTTTTTCCCAATACCACAACTCAACTGCATCAATTCGTCTTCTGTCACCCTTATTCATTGTGCAGCTCTCAGATCATAGAAGGTGATTAGAAAGAATGTGCCTTGAATAATGTGCACCTTAGTCTTTAGACTGACATCATTTCTCCTCAGGACTTTGGAGAGGCCCCTGACAGCAGACTTTTCCAGTGCTATATACACCTCCTGGTCTCCTGACTGCTGGGACCAATGGTGTTGATTGTGGATCCAAGCAAAATGAGGAGATATTTTTGCTGTTTTTCAGCTTCAGTTTCTTTGCAAATGTGATTAAGATATCTGAGATAATGCATGTTAATCACTCGGCACAGTACTTGGCACACATACTCATTTTCTTGGCATTTTATTTTTCTTGGGTTAAGCATAGGAAAGAATGTGATGGCTTTGTGGTATTCTCTCTTAGATATATGGAAACTGGAGGAGGAAAACAGAGGCTGGGCTAGTTCCTTTAAGGCCTCCCTACTCATTGTGGTCCAAGGAATAGCAGCAACTTTGGTCACCTGGGAGCTTGTTAGAATTTCAGAAGTTTGGGCCCCACCCAGACCTACAGAGGGAGCATGTGCATTTTAACAAGATCCCCAGGGGTTTCACATGTACGCTCAGGCTTGAGAAGCATGTCTTTATGGAACACAGGGAGTTAATCACTTAGCAGGCCTCCTGGTTCCTTGGTCCAGGAATCATCATCATCTTCATCCTCCTCCTTCTCTTCCTCATCAGCCCATTTGTGTAGCCAAGTGATTGAGATCCCATCATGCTGTTAACCGCTCAGTCTGCAGGCAGGTTTAATCAACAAGAAGATCTGAAGATGACTCCTCATCAGAGGAAATCAAGAGGATTGAGCGCAACTACAGAGGCCACTACAGGTTTGCAGTCCACCTGCTGGTACTGTAGATACTGTAAGATACGCCCTCCTTCAATGGAAAGCAGAAGGTTCGACTTGGAGGTATAAAGAAGCAGTGAGGAGAAAAGAAATGACACACACCAAGGAAGTGGCTCTAAGGATAGAAGTGCTGGAGAGTTCGTTTAGCTATTCTTAATTTCAGAGCTTTTTGCGGAGAGAGGAAGAAGCAGGAGCCCAGGCCTACTGGTCTAGAAATAGTACACATTATGGTCTGGGGTTCTTGTAGCTTAGTGACCCAAAGGGTATTTGTTAAGTGTGTATCGTGGGCAATGTCTGTAAAGAATTGTGATCATCTGAATGGAATAAAGGCAGGTCAGAATATGTTGGTGACCTCTGCCTCTCCCGACCAGAGCAGTGACTGAAGCTAGAGGGGAAGGCCTTCTGTCAAGTTACTGCAAGAGAAAACCTTGGATCATATCTTTTTATCTGGCCCTTTTTCTTTCTAGAGTTAGGGTGCAAGTGAAGCACGATGAGGGGACCAGTGCTTTGGTAAGTCACTGTCCCAGAATGGGACACCATTAATTGCACAGTGCGGACAACTCTGTGGGAGAGACTGTAAACTGAGCCAGATGGAACCAAAAAGTCTTTGCCACTGGGTTGATTCAGTTTCATGTCTACTCCATCTGTTACAGAGCGAGCTTCACAGGTTTTCTTGGTTATAATTGTTATGGAAACAGATTGTCAGGCCTCGGTGGCACAGTCTTGTAAGGAATTGCTAACTCAAAGGCAGTCATCCCTCTCTGGCAGTTTGAATCCATTCGCTGGTTCCTCGGGAGAAAGATGGGCATTCTCCTGTCAATTTATAGCCTCTGAAAACTCACTGGATGGCCAGCTGTGAGCCGGCTCTGACTCGATGGTAATCAGTTTGAGTTTTTTGTCCCATGGTGGAGGGCACTACTGGGTAGACATACGGGAGTAATCTAAGGCAAACTATCTGTACCACCCAGGGATGTACACCCCGCTCCCCAGCCCCTCAGACGAACAGGAAAAGAGTGGCTAGATAATGAATAGTGAATAGATTATCTATCTAGTGATAGATAATACAGTTATTGGAACAGATGAGCACAAGGACCAGTTGAAAGAAATGTATGATTAGGCAAAGTGTGCCTGAAAACCTCCTGGAACAAGGGGTGCACTGCAAAGTGGACTGGGGGAGGGGGAGGGAGGAAAATGTGCAACAGTGTATGAACGAAAATCCAACCTTTCTGTAAACTTTCGTTAAAATCACAATTAAAAAAAAACAACACACAACAAAAAACAAGACGAAAGGCCTGAGGAGCTGCTTTGGAGAGATGACGGGGCAGCTCTCCTTTACAACACAGGCTCCTGGGAGGCAGAGCAGGCTTGAGAGCACTGAAAGAAGACCATGGAGGAGGTAAATCGGCCATGGGGAAATCGTGGGCACCACACACACACTTACTTTATCATATTCAACAGCCTTGAGTTGTCTCTCAGGCAATCTAGGGAAGTATTTAAATCAGTCTGGATAGGGCGGTGGAGGCTCTCTCCTTTACATTAAGAATTTTAATGATTAACTCATGGAGTTGACCTTTGAGGACCTGGGTCATTTCCTTCCATGCCTTACACTCAGTTTCTGAGCAGGGTTTTGGAGGCAGCGGTGAGGCTGTAACAGGCTGTCCGGTTTGGGCCAGTGCACCATGGTCCTCTCTTCTCTTAACTGCGCTAACATGATCACGCTGTGGACAACTTGCTAAGGCCCCACATAGATCCAGTCCTCACTTAGCACTCTGCTTCCCCCACTCTTCATTTGTGAATGAATAGTGATGTTTCTGGCATCTCTCCCCAGGGCTCAAGTGGAAATGGCTGAGGCCTGGGCTTCCTGGAGGCCGTGGATGTTTGTGTCTTCCCACTGCAACTTCCTGAAAGCAGAAATCCCCGAATCTGAATTTGCGTCAAGGCCTCATGGCCATGTGAACCGGAGAGGAACTCCAAAGACACGCACTTAGAAGGTGCTGAGCGTGAGTGAGCGCAGACCCCTCTCCAGAGCATCCAAGGAGGCTCTTCCAGGCAGGCTCCCCGGCTCCAGGAGAGGCAGGCTTGGTCTGGTCGGCTTGGGCTGACACGGTGTTTGTTTATCTAAGGCATTTTCACAACATATTCTCCTTAAACTTGACAGCTTGTTTACAATGGGTTTCTGCCGTAGGGCAGTTTCCAAGTGCTGTCAGCTTCTGAATTACAGCTCTTGCCAGCGCTGCTCAGAACAGCATTTATCTGGGAAGAAGTTATTCTATATTCAGTAACCTATTGCTGAGCTGACTCTGCAGCACGTTTTTCACACCAGTCAAAGGGGAGAAATGCCTTTCTTTCCTCCCACTATTCTGCATTTTCCAGGGTGCTGGAGGAGGCTGGGAGCCTGGGGAAGCCAGGAAACCACAGGAAGAGAAACCAGCTCAGCTCCGAGAGTTGACTCTGCAGCAGGATTGCCAGCTGCTCTGATAGATGTGCTCTGAATGATCCCACTTAATCCTCACAATAACCTACTGACCCAGGGGTGATCGATAATTTCCTCCAGGGTGTGTGTGTGTGTGTGTGTGTGTGTGTGTGTGTGTGTGTGTAAATCTTGGGTTCAAATAGAAATTCCTTGGATTTTAAACCTGTTACTACACAGCACTGCCCCCCAGAAACATATGGAATTAAACGTGAGATCACTCTCTTTGTAAATTCCAGTCTGGGTTCAAAGTTTTTTCCCCACCTGACATGGGAAAAGAAACAGGGCCCCACTGAGTGTTCACCAGGTAATCTTTCTGTGTCTGTCTTCCCTCCCTTTTACGTCTGCTGTCTCTTTCTTCATGTTCTTTCTGATGAGGTAACCTACTGGCCACCGAGTCAATACTAACTCATAATGACTCTATAGGACACAGTAGAACCACTGAGTTTCCAAGGCTGTGAATCATTTTGGAAAGAGACTTCCACATCGTCCTCCGTGGAGTAGCTGAAGGATTTGAACTGCCAAAACTTCAGCAGAGATGTGCTTAAACCCTGTACCACCACAATTCCTTTTGGCATCTAAACGTACACTTTACAAAGCAAAGTTCTAAGAGGGTTCATAGTTCAAAATTGGTTTTGAGAGTACAGTATGTAAGTCTATACTTTCATCTATTCCTCCTGTTAGAAAATCCTCTAAGCAAAAGAAGAGACTAGTAAACCTTGGAAGCTAGAGAAGTCTTACTTCTTTGGTGCTTTCCACAGTATTTTAATGAGCACTCTCTCACGTCCACCCCAGCCCCAGGAGGGCGTTGGCAGGGAAGGCTCTATCAGCACCCCCATACTGAAGGGGGCACAGGTGTAGAGAAGGGAAGTGACTTGCCCAAGACGATACAGTCCACAAGGTTGTTAATTCAATTTCTTATCTCCATCTCTCCCCTCATTACAGTAACCTTCTGACCCCTGGATCAGTTGAACTGCTTAACTCACTTAACCAGGAAACTCTGGAAATGTGACATTTCAAGGCAGGCAGTACTGGGTTAGCTTGAGGCTTCATTAACTTGAGAATAGAATGTCTAAATTAACCAGAGGACTTAAAGATTCTAGCACTAGAACAATCCGTATCTAATGAGACTGAAATCATACCCCAGTTACTATGAAATGTGCACTTGAGCCTTTACTGTCCCAACACCTTGCCTGAGGGGAGGGAGAGAACTGGACAAGTATGCAATGGCGATGGCTAAGAGGGACTTGAGCAGAGACTGGAGTGTGGAATGCAGGCGCTGGGGTGTGGGACGCAGGGGCTGGGTTATGGGACAGAGTGGTGGGCTAGATGGGCAGCAGGGCTTAGGTGACAGAGGAAGGTAGGGAAGTGTGAGTCCAGAAGCAACTTCCACACTGTTGACACTCTGCCAAGGGATATGGAAACCGTATGCTTCAGACAGGAAGTACATATTGAATAACAATGGAATGTGCTCAGATTAGAAGCAGCAGAGAGGAATGCCAGGAAGCAGGGGCCCTGTTCTGGGCTTGCTCTAGAGGGTGGTGATGTCCTTTCCAGCAGGTCCCAGAGGTAAGAGATCAAATGCTGCATGCATTTCGTGGGTCCTGTAAGTACAGCTCCAACAATCACTAAATGCAGGAAGGTGAAAGGTGAAAAGAAGGGATGTTTTAAAATTCTTCTTTGTGTACAGTGGTAACACTTAGAAGGAAATGGTTTTCTTTGGTGTCACTCTGTCGACCAGATGAAAAGTGATTTAAGGAACAGCAGAGTTGATATCCCAACACATGGAGCCACCACCAGGCTGAGGATAGCTCCACATCTAGCAAAGACATTAGGTTGTGGCAGGGTGCAAGGAGCGAATCACCACAGTGAGGATTCCCCTCAAGATAGACCACATGGATCATTCATGATACACGACAACCCCAGCACCGGAGACGAACTCAAACAGGAGAAAGAAAACACTGCGTGCCATAAAACAGCCGGGCTCTTCCTCTACAGGAGACAGAATGTGCAGGGTGCACGGCTTTGACCCTGAGCTCTCAGAAGCTCAGCCTTTATTTGCTGTGCTCTGCATAGCCGTGAACATGCGTGTGTACACACACACACACACACACACACACACACACACCCCACGCTTTTGAAGGCCTGCCATCTACCAGGCCAGTGAGAAGTGCTGTGGACAAGAGAGAGGACTGGTGCCCGCTGTGGGGCGGTCAGCTCCCGCTGGCCTGTACCCCGCGATCCCGGTCCATACTTACTAGTGTCCAAAAGAGGTAAATAGTGAAGAGTGCGACAGTGAGTGCAATCAGTCCGACGGCTTCGAGCCGACTACTAAAGTGCAGGTGGTCCACGGCGCCCCGCAGGCAGAGCCAGCCCGAGATGGTGGCCAGGGGCGTTATGAACAAGAAGCACACCATGTCTCCAAACAGAGTCCGTTTCTCATGCTGGGGGCCTGGGTTTCGGAGCCACTGCCAAGGAAAAGGAGACAGAGAAAAGCAAGGGAAAGGTTAAATGCCAGTGTGGAGCAGAGACATGCTGATCTGAAGTTGCCTTTGTCTTCAGAATCTGGGAAAGGCACTTCCAAGCTGGTCTAAGACCACCAGGAACACTGGGGGCCCATTCCCATGCCCCCACCCACTGTAACTGGGACAAGAACAAGAAAATACAATGACAATTTACTGAGCTCTTGCTGGAGAAGACTGGTTTTCCTGAAAATGGTTCTGTGGCTATTATTCTGAGTCACAAAGACCCTATGCAGAGAGAAGGCCATTTGTAGACAGTAACAGATGAGGCACCAGCAACTGTGTCACGGAACCAATGCCTGTCGATTGCCTGACTCTGGAAACATGTGCAGAAACCAAACCTTTAATCTGACATTCCCATCAATTTAGCAGATCTGAGTTGCTCTCAACTGTACTTTCTGACTTCCGTCGTGGTCTTGAGACTGCTTCTGGGAGAAAGCTCCTGGAACATTCTGCCTGAGAGCGTGCCTGGGTGTTTGAGGTCTTGGGATTCTGTACCAGTTTGATTAGATACTTTACTCTAACAATGTGATTTATGGAGAAGGCTGCTTCTGCATGTCTGAAATCTTGGTTCACACAATCTCAGTTTGATCAGACAGTTGATGGGAGCCATATGATTTACGGTGAAATGGCTGTCTTGCTCTGGCTGGCTGGAGTGTGAGGAGCTGAGGTGAGTCACGCAGGCGCTGAGTGCCTAAGTGACTGACGCCCCAGTGAAAGTCCCGGACATCAAGGCTCAGGTGAACCTTCTAGGTTTTCAGCACATCACACACTGTTGCTAGGAGCAGTAAGTACATCCTTGTGAATCCACGGGGAATAGACACCTGGAAGCATGTGTGTGTCTTCTCCCAAACACTGCTTGGTGTATCTTTTTCCTTTGCTGACTTTAATTTGTATCCTTTTGCTGAAATAAACAGAAATGATTACTCTAACAGTCTTTCTGAGTCCTAAAGCTCCTTCCAGCAAAGTCAAGCCTGAAGGTGGTCTTGGGCACTCCTTCTTGTCCTATTCCCCTCCCCTAAAAACATGACACACTTGATTTCTTGAATTCAGTAATGCCCCTTATTATCTTTCAGGACTCTGGACCTCCTCAGCTAGGAGTCTCTGTGATATCTATTTTAAGGGTGCTGGTGGCATAGTTCTGAGGGAACTGTGCTGTTGACCCAACGGGTGACACCTCTCTGGCAATTTGCTCCATCAACAACTCCTGGAGAGAAGAAAGGGCAGTCTCCTCCTCTGTGACTTACAGCCTCGGAAACCCTCTAGCGGGTCGGTGATACGAGGGTTCCAACTTGACAGCAAGGAGTGTGAGTTTGGCAGATTTCTTACTTGTGCTCCGTCCCTTTGGTGGGCAGTGCAGCACACTATGGACTGTGGCACCAGACCTCCTGACTGTGCTCTCATCTTGACTGAACTAACTCTCCAACAGGATGGGGAAAAGTTTTGCGCACGTTGAAAGGCTAGACATGCGAATTTTTCCCGAAACACAAACAATGCTATTGTCTTTTGACTGAGGGGATTGCTGAACATTTGAGGGAAGTTTTCCATAATTCATTCTAAGAAGAGTCAAGCTTTCTGTACGGATGTCAAGATACCTTGGTAATGAAACCTGATGGCTATTCTTCAGATTAGCATGCATAGATGGCCCCAAATAATTTGGCTCTCCCATCTTCTGACTCGATGGTACACAATAACAACAATAACATCTCCCTATGCCATGAAGTAACAACAGAGGTTAACTAGTTTAGGGAAGCAGAGGGTTAAACACAGGTGATGGGGTGTGGGTATGAGACAGGCACTAGGTAGGTCTGGCTTTCATCTCCCCACTACCCCATCAGACAGGGGGAACCGGAACTGTCTGTTGCTAAAGCATGTCCGGCAATGCTGAGATGGCTCACCAAACAGGTGCACTGAGGCTGGGCTGCTAAGGAAAGACCTCAGGGGGCCAGGGAAGCAATCCTGGGGAAACCATTAGTGGGACAGAAAGGAGGAAACAGAGTGAGTGAAGCTAACTAGAGAATGAAGGGGAAGTACCCAAAGATGGAAGGGAGAATCTGAAGAGCTGCAAAGAGGGTAAACAAGCTGAGAAAAAGCAATGGCTGCTAAACCCCACAAGTAGTGAGCAAAACGTGCAAGAGGCACAAGGTACAAAAGAAACTTGTCTATGAGGTACTCTTCTTTGAATTCTGGTTTGTTGATGTTGTTATGTGCCATCAAGTCACCTGTAACTCATAGTGAGCCTTTGGACAACAGCTTTGAACCCTGCCCTGTCCTGAGCCAGTTTCACTGTCTCCATCACACTTACCCCCATTACCCCAATTATAATCTATCTCATCTGGGGTCTTCCTCTCCTGTGCTCTCCCTCTACCATTCTAAGCATAATGTTTTTCTCCAAGGACTGGTCCCTCCTGGAAACATCCCAACGTATATGAGACAGAGCTTCAAAATCCTTGTCTCCAAGAAGCAACTTGGTTTCATCCTCTACAGGACAGATCTTTTCTCTTGGCAGTCAATGGTTATGTTCTATGCTCTTCTCCAGCACCACAACTCAAAGGAATCAATTTTTCTTCTATCATCCTTTGTCACTGCCTAGCTCTCTGATGCATAGAAGTAATTGTGAAGACCATAGTCTAGATCAGGTGCACCTTAAGTCTCCAGACTGGCACTGTTGCTCTTCAGCACTCTGGAGAAGTACCTGACAGTAGATTTACCTAATCTTTTTTTATTTCCTGACTACTGGTGCCACTAGTGTTGATTGTGAAGCCACGCTTGCTCAAGTAAATATTAAAGACCTCTAATTCCCAACATAACACCTTTCAGGGATAAACCTGTAAAAAGGGAATGAGATGCTGACAGAATTTCAGAAATGGACATGAATAACATGAAAATAAACACATGTTGTTGTTGTGGTTAGGTGCTGTTAGGTAGCGGAGAACTCGCAGAAACCCTGTGAACCGCTGACCTGAGTCCTGCCCTCTCCTGTACCATCTTCATCATCTCTGACACGAGGAGTCCAGTGCGAGAAGAAGCCTTTGCGTTATGGTGGTGGGGAAGAGTACTACCCTATGGACTTCCAAAAGAACAAACTTGGAAAGAGTACAGCCAGTGTGCTTCTTGGAGGCAATGATGACAAAGCTTCCTCTTTCACACTTTGGACATGGAGCGAGTCGAGACTATTCCTTGGAAAGAGACAAGAGGAGGACCTCCAATGAGATGGACTGACATAGGGAAACACAGGTAGTCCCCATCTTTGAGAGTATTCCATTTGAATCACTCCATTGTAAACAGGCCTCAAAAATATTCTTACCTTTTTTAAAGTCTTTATTACTATCACCCTCTTTTTATCAATATCTTTAAACATCTGATCTTTGCTTGCATTTGTGAATTAGAAACAATATTTATGAACATCTGCAAGTGAAATTGTGAGAATGATAAACTGAAAAAAATTATGGCCCACAACATTGTATGTACTGAAAAAAGGATGAGAGTAACTGTGGTTTCTCATAACTTGAATATGTCTCTGGTTCTCTAAGATTTATCGTTCCGCTATCTTTCCTAGCCAATCATTAATTGTTTATTTTGTGTTGAAGTAATTATTGTATTAAGGAGAGACGGTTAAGATATCAGCACTAGGTGTTTTCTTTTGTGGAATGCTTGCCTGGGACACAGATCCAGCCTGCATCCCTCACTGTCACCATCCATCTGCACCACAACTGACCGTCTACAGGATCCTGGCCTGTTTCTGCAAAACCAGCCTGCACATCTACAGCAACGTGAGTCATTCCCCTGATGGGTCTGAGTCTCTGGGAGACCTTCCAGAGAAACTCCTGAGTCTGTGGGACACAGGGAGCTAGGAAATGGAACAAAGGAGGAGCTATTGATGCTGGACTTCCATGATCATGGACTTCTATTGATCATGGACTTCTATGTCAAGCATTTGGGACAATATTGACTCAACACTTATTATAATAACTGGTCTACTACTAATCTTAGCACAATGAATTATAAAAACAATGTCCTAAATAAAGAACTACTTGCAATAAGGATTAATTTGTCTGTTTATACAAGAAATACATCATTATAACAGTTTCACATAAACACCAGAATGATCAAATGATATTAACCCTGAGGTGGCATATGTTGTCATATCACCTCTCAGCAGTGTCAAAGAAATGAAAAACCCCCTTAGTAAGAAACAGTTTTTTGGCTGAATACTGTTGAATATTGCTAGAAAGCAGAAATCAGGCATTATTATCTCAACTTTTCAGAGGTTCAGCAAGTTTGAATGACTGCCCAGGTGATTTGAAGGCTGAATTAAGAAGTGAGTCAGATTCTTTCAACTCTTATTCATATGTGTTCTCAGGAAAATATTTTAAGAAATTAAAACTACAACACTCAGAAATCCAGAGTCTTGAGAAAATTGCCAAATTGTGGCAATTCAAGTTGCCTGTCCATTTAGAGTCTCTCTAGAAGTAGTTCTGGAGTGGAGGCCTGATGTACTTGTCTGATGCACAGTATGGACAGGGTTTTGGACATGGTATCTGATTAAACAGAGTAGGTTTTCAACAAACATCGTATAGAAGTACTCACTCTGACTCATTTGTTAAAACTTACTGTGAGGTGCCATCAAGCTGACTCCAGTTCATAGTGACCTTACGTGCAACAGATTGAAACTATGCCTGACCCCACGCCATCCTCACAATCTTCACTGTGTCCAAAGTGTGTGAGATGAAGTCTCACCATTTTTGGCTTTAAGGAGCACAGGGGCTGCATTTCTAAAACATATAGGCTTATTCTTTTGGCAGTCAATAGTGTGCTTGATATTCTTTGCCAATACTATAACTCAAAGGCATTGGTTCTTTTTTTGTCTTCCTTATTAATTTTCCAACTTTCATAAGCAATTGAGTCTTTTAAATGATATCCTTGATTTTTAAATCATTAGGAAT